TCAAGAAATTAAGAAGCTGGAGAAACTTTGGATGTGATTATGGAGTAAACCAATTTAGCAAGGGTAAGAACAAAGGGTGGCTGAGCATGTCAATAAGGGAGGTGGGGTTAGTCCAGTCCTTACTTGGTGTCCTCTGGGAAACCCTCCAACCCGATTCAAAGATCAGAATGTCTACTCTCATCAAATTGTGGTCACATGCATTATTAATTTTAAATAAAAATGCCCATCAGCAAATTTGGTCACCCTCCCTCTTCATCTACCTCAACCCCAACATCTCTAAGTGAGATGTTAAACACAGACAAGTAACCTTCCCTTCAAGGAGAATGAGCAACAGAAACAGGATTTCAGAGGCTTCTCAATTATTTCACCCAACACACAGGTGGCCTAAGGGTAACCTGGGCTTCAGCAGCAGCACTAGCAGAAAGGTGACCATCCTACAAGGAGCCAGACTTGTGTAACATTCAATTTCTCTTGAAGGGAACTGGGTGTGGGTTTGTTGGTTGGGGGTGGAGTGGTAGAGAAATACAGACAATAGTCAAAATCTTTTATTTATACACTAGGTGTGTTTACCTTTTCAGATACCTCCTTTTCTGTTATAACAGACTGAACTCAATTTAGAAAGGTCTGGATATTTTTAGTTGTATGTAAGTGAACTATCTTCCAGTTGTAACAAAACTATTCTTGACAAGGAGAGAAAGCATTTGTAAGGGGCTTACAGGTACATTACTCTCAAGGAGGGTGGTCTACTTGTTACTAAGAACTCATTCCACTGAAAGTGCTCTGTGCCTCTTGGTAGACAGAGCTTCTATGTATACTGAAGTCGCCTCCCAAGAGTTTCTCACCATTTTGCACACCTGAAAGCAGAGGACATGATTTGGCTCCTACTGTCTTCTCAAGGATGTGCACAGAGAACTGCCATGAAAGGCATTATTTCCCTCCCAGGCAAGTCTGTTTGCTGTTAGACTGGTAGAGACTGAATAAATTTGCTCACACAGCTTTTAAAAATGCTAGGTTCCCAAGCTCAAAGTTCCCCTGTGATATGCACAATACTTACTTGGGCACTCTGTATCACCCACATGGAACCTGGAAGACAGAAGCAGATTGGTTGACATGAAGTTCATGCTGTGCCTCTGAACTGGGAGTCAAAGCTAGTACCCAAGACTGGGCAAGTTAGCTTGTAAATAGAAACTGCAGACCCTTCACAGTTGGCACCATGCAAAACAATTACATTCGAAGCATGTATGGTGGAGCACACCTTTAATCCCAGCAGAGGCAGGCCAGTCTATGAAATCAAGGCAAGTTACAGGCTGACTGGGGATACAAGAAGACCCTGTCTCAAAAACAAAAAACTAGTTGGTTTTGTTTCATTTTTGGAAAATGAATGTCTCACCTGACTGCACCTTCTCTCAAACAATAGAATTCTAGCAGAACAGATATATAACAGACTTGTATCTTAGCATTTGCTGCAAAGGGATTTAACTTCAATCAGAAGCACATTTAACGTACTAAAGGGCACAGGTAAAAAAGACAAAGGTTGTTGTTGGTGGGTACCAAAGTTCAAAGAGGAAGGAGGCAATTCTGGGAACTGCAGATAAAGCAGAAGTGTTATTTGGATGGGCACAGTGGTGCCTACCCGTAGTCCTGACTGCTCATGAGGCTGAGAGGATTACCAGTCCAGGAGTTTAAAGTAAACGGGCAACATGCAAAACCCCATCTCCCTTTTTTTTTTAAAAGCATTTTTGGAGCTTTGGTTTAATCTCACCAACCATTCTTTAAAGAAAATTAATTATAGCCCTGTTGCCCTCTACTGGAAACAAGTTTGAAAATATGGGGCAATTGTAGGTTACTCTTTTACAGTCTGCCCTACTGTGAACCCAGGTGGCTTAATGCTGAACAGCCTTGTGCTGAAGGGATGGTCCTTCCTACAGGCACCTTTAACTGGCAGCAGCTACTGATTGCCCAGCCCACAAACAACTGTAGCTTTGCTGAGTCCCTAGGCCTCCTCTCCCTACTGCAGCTGCAAAGAGTCTTCCTTTTGCCTGTTAACCCCACCAACAAACCCTAGTTGGCTCAATCACAAATATGCGTCATCTTGCTCTTGGGGGCAGAAGTAGATTGAACAGAACAAATGTCAGCAGAGCACTTTGTGATCTCAAATGGTCAAAGGCCCACATTTAGTTTGAAATGTCACCCTACCAATACCATGAAGTATTTGTCCAGATGTTTTGATCATGCGCCCAAATCAGGGGAAAAAAATGCACCAATAAATGTATCATTTATTTATAAATTATAGAATGTACAACTGTACAATATATTATGTACATTATAAAACACACAAAAATAGAAATTTAAAAGGATGAGATTAAATACAAAGAATCATTTTAACATTTTCTCAAAGGACTGATCATCTGCATACCCCTGGGATGCACACACCTGCCTGAAACCACAGACCTAAAGCATGTTCATGATTGCTGCTATTTGGATTATTAGCTCAGTTACAAGAAAATATACAAGACCACCTTTTGTTGTTTTAAGGTTTGTAAAAATAGCCCTAGCATCAAGTGCATGAAGACGCCTGTTGCTGACTTCTTGAGATGCAATTTGGACTAATCACTGCACAGCTGGTGAAAAAATGTTATGGTTCACTGATAGTTGTTTCATTTTAAGGCAGATTAAATAGGAAATTCCAGAGCTGAGTCAGAATGTGATGGGAAAATGAACCTGCCTTTATTCAAAAAGATTGGAGGAAAGCCAACAAAATAAATAGCTAGGCCCTTTTGCCTATGTGAAAAGCCAAAAAAAAAAAAAAAAAAAAAAAAAAAAAAAAAAAGCAAGTAGCATTCGCCCACTATGCAAAGGGATTAAAATGGATTGCCACTCATCTGCCTGACTGAATACCAGTGAGGAGGTAAAACGGTGTGCACACAGCTCCAACACGTGAATAAGAATTGGAGCACAGACACTCAGGAAATATACACCAAACAATTCCTCAAGAACTGTGTAAGGTACTGAATGTGAAATATGGGCTGTTACTAAACAACACTCCAGAACCTGGCATGAGCTACCTGGAGAAATAGCTGATAAATATGGTAAATGTGCTCAACACCACATATGGCAGCTCAAGCCTGTAATACCATTCATTACTCAAGAGCTGAGGCAGGAGGATCAGTTTTTGGGTATAGTGAGTTCAAGGCCAGCCTAGGCTATATAATGAAACCATGTCTCAAAACCAAAAGCTAAATCAGAACATGCTAAGTGAGTCAGTAAATTCCTGAACAGCCAGCTCCTCACTCATTTACACACGGGGGTTGGCATCCATACTCCTGCTTCCTACCAGAGCCTGAGCTTCCTGGCACACAGTGGATGGGTACAACCCAATAGTCCGTCCTTCACTCCGCAGTGTAAGCAGAGCAGAGCACAAGAGATTGTTCCATACACAGAACCTTATTGAACCTGTCCACTTCTCTTAAAACATGCACAGGGAACTCTAGAGGACACAGACCACTAACTGATCTGGAGACTGAGAGCTCCGTAACTGCAGCCTTGATTAGGTCCACAACACTAACATTTGCCATGTCAGCCACACTTTCAGCTGTGGTAACTAAGACTCCTTCTGGAAGGCTGTGTTTTAGTGGACACTATGCACATTTAGATAAAACGTTACATTATTTTAAGTAACAAGTTCAGAAAGAACCAATTTCACTCTGTATGTACTGCATTTTTATCTATATATCCATCTATTTTTTGAATAGGAATAGAAATGAAACTTGACTCAAACATTTCCGTTAGAGCCAATGTAAACCAGGTAAGCTATCAATCCCATTCCAGAGAAGGAAGGGATGTGGGGTCTGCTGACGACTGGAGGGATGAGAGCCATAAACTGAAGGCTCAGTTCTCACACTGCTATGACAAAGGGTGAAGTTACCTAAGGTGCTCACTAGAGGAAAATCTATTCTTTTGGTTGGGATGTTGATATATGTCACAAAACAAGCAAAGAAAAAGACTGGTGGAATTTGTAGTCGTAGGAGGGATGCTGTTTATAAGCACAGTGGTGCTGGTTTTGGCTGTAAAATTGTTGCCAGAGAATTTCAAAGCCAGAGAATCCAGCTGTTTACATGAACTCTGTACAGCCTTTTAAAGGGAAAATAGCCACTAGAAAATTAAGTTTTATTTTTTTTTTCTGGAAAAATATACTTCAGTACAACTAGGAAATGTGAACACTATTGTGTTCTGTTCCATCTCCTCTGACCTCATTCTACTTTAGCACCTGACACCAGCCGGCTCTCTCCCTTCACACTCACCAGACTAGCAGCTAACTCGACCAACACTGGGGCTTTCAGTAAACCTTGATTTGAAAAGCAAATCCACTGTGTGACATATAAATCAAACAAGTGAACCAAATCCTCAACCCCACAGCCTTCTGCCTGCCGAGGAAGGGTCTCATGGTTATCAAGTCTCCGATAAAAAACTCCCAACTATTTTACAGGAAATATTAGATCTTAAGGACCCCGCCCCCCCGCAAAAAAAAGCATTCGTATTTTTGGTAATTTTAAAATTTTATTTCCAACTACTGTAGTAACAAAATACCAGTGGTAATTCTGCATGATGTGTAGCAACCTTTTAAAAATAAACAAGGTCACAAGTTAGTATTGCAACAGTACTTTGGCCTATGGAGAGTTTGATAGGAGAGAATTATTGCCATCAGTCTTATAATAGTATAGACTTGTGTTTCCTCCACATCTAGTAATAAAAATATTCCTCTTACTTCAGTGAATCATCACACACACACACATTTCTACTCTATGGTAAGCATTGCCCTTCAAGGCTGCATTAAATGAGGGGAACTAGCTCTCCCTTCTGGGCCTCCCAATAGTAATACAGAGATAGCAGTCACTTCCACAGTGAGGTACAGTAGTAAACTTCTAGTTGAAAATTAATAGATTACTCTATTTATGCCCTTTCTTTAGGAGTAAAAAGACAAACACAATTACAAACATAAAATGAGTCAAACTTCTATTTTATTGACAGGAGTCCAAAATGAATACAAAAAAATACCTCCTTTGCACGCTGTGTTTATTTTCTTTAAAAGGCTTCTGTTAAGAGTCAGGTAGATTAAAAGCTACGAATGTACTTCAGCTTTCATAGAGAACCTTTAAAAACGGCTGAGTGACATACACCACCAACATCAGAAAACACATGGTCCCATATTCACCACAGTTTATCAAAAGAATTAGACCCTTGTATTGACAGGTCAAGAGGCTTAAAAATGTTTTAAGTCATTAAAAGCCACTTTTATAATATGTCTGATAATTCTGGGCAATTGAGAAAGGAAAATTTCATAATGTAGCCCTCTATATTATGTGGAATGTGAGAAAATGCCAAGTTACGGCCAAGACAGATGAAAGTAAAGGTCTGAACTCATGGAACTGTTACACTCTTATCACTTATAACCTATCAATAAATGAATAACAGAGCTTATCAAGAGATTAAAAAACTTGAGCAGATGTTACTTAAAACATATTTGTGATGTTTATCACATTATAGTGTTTACTAAAACTAAAGCTGAACAAAGAAAAGTTCCTCATGTCTAAGATTGTTTTCACATGTACCTTGACTTTTACTGGGACCATAAATTGATCAGGTAATACATAGCCCACACTTCTGAACAGTTATAACAAAGGATTTATTATTATTTCCAGATGAAATAAATGCACCACCCCATACTTGAAAGGTTTTAAAGAATCCTTTTTCAGATTGCATCAAGGCACCACCAACTGCCCATTTTATGCACCCATTTCTAGCAAAGATACCAACACTTCCCTCAACATCGGTTCCACACTGCTTCTGGTTTATTATAATTTACAAAACAGCAGGTGTTTGCAAGTATGTGCAAATGCTTTGGCCCATTCATAGTACTGCTTAGTCATCATCTTCCTCTTCCTCCTCTTCTTCCTCAAAGCTATCTTCAAATCCCTCACTGTCTTCCTGGTCTTCATCACCTTCTATTGCTGTATCCCACTGTGGGTGATTTTCTGGCACAGGCTTAGCCTCATGAACTTCCAACTATAAAGAATTAAATGTACACATCAGACATTTGGGAAGGAAAAATAGAAAAAATACCTGGGGTAAAGGGAATGTTTTCTTTACGGATTCAACTCTAAATTCAACACATTCATTCAGAATACTTCACTGTAGAAACAAATATACTAACATGGAAATGATCTAATACAATTTTGATAGGTGGACTTTACAGAACTTAAACTATTTTAAAATGTGTTTCTGTGGCACAAAGTACTAACAAGTGTAATTCTTAAGCAATAATGCTGGGTAGTATCTTAATAAAAATATTTTGCTGAAGGAAGAAAGTATGGGAGTCAAGTATGATTTCAAAAGAGTTTTCTGTGAAGCAAAATTTATGGCTAATGCAAAAATTACAAAACTATCACGGGAAAAAAAAGAGACTCACCTTTACTGGCTCCCTTCCTCTTTATAGTGTAACAATGCTTTAGCACAATCTAATACAATAGAATGCCGTAAATAAAAAGCACAAAGGAAATGGTAAACACTGATAGGAGTGTGTTTCAACTGATAAAGTGTAAGCTCTAAGATGATTAAAAATGTCATTTCAGCCAGGCGTAGTGGCACATGCCTTTAAATCCCAGCACTCGGGAGATAGATAGAGGCAGGCAGATCTCTGTGAGTTCAAGGCCAGCCTGGTCTACATAGAGAGTTCCGGGACAGCTGGGGCTACAGGGAGACCCTGTCTCAAAAAGATGAAAAAAAAAGCATTTCAGAAATCAATAAATACTCCAATAAAACCTGTACCAAAAGTCTGTAAGCTTTTTCAAAGAAAACAGAACCCATTTGCTGATGCCCTTAAACTTATCACATTACTACAGCACATTAAAATTACTACTAAAGAAACATAGTCAGCTGGGCGTGGTGGTGCACGGCTTTAATCCCAGCACTTGGGAAGCAGAGGCACGTGGATCTTTGTGAGTTCCAGGACAGCTGGGGCTACAAGGAGACCCTGTCTCAAAAGAGACAAAAAAAACCCCAAAAAACAAAAAACAAAAAAACATAGTCAAAGTTCAAATCATAGTCCTTTAAAGTCTATTATTGAAATGATGATATTTTTCCTTCCCCAGCTCTACATTTCAAAACTAGAAATGTTTGCCATACACGTACTCAGGTACTGGCTGCTCTTCTTCAGACAATCTACTCATCACTATTCCTTTAAAAAAATTATTATTTTTATTTTGTGTCTATGAGTGTATTGCCTGCATGTATGTAAGTGCACCCATGCTGTGCCATGCCCACGGAGGTCAGAAGAGGGTGTTGGATCTCCTGGAACTGGAGCTACAAATAATTGCAGCTGCAATATGTGTTCTAGGAACAGGACCTGGGTTCTCTGCAAGAGCAGGAAATGCTCTTAACGGCCAAGCCATCTCTCCAGCCCCTTCATCACTATTCTTACCTTCAAGGGTTTGATCTGATCCAAACCCATATAGGAGTCTGATCTTAGAAACACTGTGTACTGATAATTTCCAGGTTTGCCTGGTGCAGGAAACTTCAGTTCTACCTAAAAGATAAAATCAACACTTAAAAAGCTGTGTTGTAGAGGGGACTGAACTACCATCAAATTATATTATATATAAATCACAAAAATTCAAGAGAGAGAGAGAGAGAGAGAGAGAGAGAGAGAGAGAGAGAGAGAGAGAGCTTGCTGATTTATTGATGTGTAGATAGCATGGGAGGCATTCAACAAGCTGTGCTTTTGATTCTCCTTTATTCCTACCCTTTGTTGACCAGGGATTGCACCTAGAGCCTTGCTCCTGTTGAGCTATAGCCTCAGCTTTCTCTCTTAAAAACTTTTTAAAAATTGAGCCAGAGAGTTGGCTCAGTGGTTAAGAGCACTGGCTGCTCTTTCACAGGACCTTACATAGTGGCTAACAACTGTCAGTAACTCTAGTTCCAGGGGATCCAACATCCTCTTCTGGTCTCCAGGGCATTGTAAGACATGGATGCACTTACACACATGCAGGCAAAATGCATACACATACAATAAAAAGTAATTAGAAAATTATATTTATTTACTGTGCGTATGTGTATACTCACTTGCACAAGATCAGAGGATAACTTGTGGGAGTGGGTTATCTCTTCCATCATGTGGGTCCTAGGCATGGAACTCAGGCTTGTCTGCAAGGTGCCTTTACCTGCTGAGCCTTTATGTGCTGAGCCATGTCTCCAGCCCCTTGGCTCTTTTTACCTTTTTTAAAAAAATTTATTTAACAATTGTATTTATTTTATGTGTATGTTAAGCCAGCATGTATGTCTATGTACTGAGTTTGTGCCCTGGTACCCTCAGAGGACAGAAGAGGGTGTCAGATTCCCTGGAACTGGAGATGTAGGTAGTTGTATCACCATGTGGGTACTGGGAACTGAACCCAGTGCTCTTACCTGCTGACCCATCTCTCCAGACTTCTTTTTACTTTTTATTTTGAGACAAGCTCTCACCAAAACTCCCAGGCTAGTGTTAAACTCACTCTAGCCTAGGCTGGCCTTGAACATGTGATCTTCCTTCCTCAGCTTTCCAAGTAGCTGGAATAACAGTCCTGAACCACCACGCCCAGGCTTTCTACCTTTCCCTCTCTCTCTCTCTCTCTCTCTCTCTCTCAAGACAGGGTCTAATTACACTGTCCTGGCTGGCCTAGAACTTACGACATAGACCAAGATGACTTTGAAATCACAGAGATCTACCTGCCTGTGCCTCTTGAATGCTGGGGTTACAGACATGAGCCACCATGCCTGGTTTCGCCTGGGCTATAAAACAAAACAAAACAAAACAAAACAAAACAAAACAAAGGAACAACTCCACATGACTTTCTAACTATGACACAAACTTAGGAGCAACAAAATAAAATTTCATAAGCACAGTAAAAAAGGAAAAAGAGAGTAAACAGAGTATACTTTAAAAGAAAGATTATGGTCAAGTTGTGACTCAGCTAGAGCACTTTCCTAATATGCTCAAAGCCTGAATTCCACACGAGGAAAAAAATTAATTAAATAAATAATAATCACATGAACTGGAGAGAAATATTCATAACACACACACCAAAAACAGGGCTGACGTCTTCACAGTAAAAAAACAATAAAAACCCACCAAAACAACTTAAAGGATCAAATACAAATGAGCAATGATCTCTCTCTCTCTCTCTCTCTAGTTTCATTCTTAAAAAATAAATAGGGGCTAGAAGAGATGGCTCAGCTATTAAGAGCACGTGCTGCTCTTGCAGAGGACCTGGATTCAATTCCCAACCCCTACATTAAGTGGCTCACAATGGTCTATAACTTGTTCCAGGGGATCTGATGCCCTCTTCAGGCCTTCAGGTGCATCTGCACATATGTGGTACACATACACATGTGCAGGCAAAACATTAATGCACATACAATAAAAATAAAATCTTAGCTGGGCGTGGTGGCGCACGCCTGTAGTCCCAGCACTTGGGAGGCAGAGGCAGGCAGATCTCTGTGAGTTCAAGGCCAGCCTGGTCTACATAGTGAGTTCCAGGCCAGCTGGGGCTACAGGGCAGACCCTGTCTCAAAAAGATTAAAAAAAAAAGGAGCAAACAGGAAATACAAATCAAGGTGGTTCATTTTATGTCCATTTACATCTTCAAGAACATTTAGGTGAATGTACTGACCATTAAAAAACCAGGTACAAAGTAAATTAATACAATGAAATTGCAGTATTAATTTTATTTGTAAGTTGTCTATCGCTTTAAATGTCAAATAAGCAATATTAAATAATTCTGCACATTTATCATTTGCTTATAAAGGATTTCAAGGGATTTTTTAAATACTAAGACAGTATTTAGAACTATCTTGAAATCTGAAAGCCTTGCTCTTGTCAATTCAGTTAGGCTGACAGAACTTGCTTGCTGAACAAAAAAACAAAAAAACAGTCCAACAGAATACAGCTCCCAAGAGTAAAAGATGAGTAACCAAATTTTCATCACAATGCTACTTTTCTGATCTTGTTATGACAGTCAATACTGTCAACTTGATGCAACTGAAAAATACCAAGAATGGCAAAGGACACTTCTGGGTGTCTAGTAGAGCATTTCCAGAAAAAGAAAACTAGCGTATGATGGCTCTGATGCAATCAATGATGGTGACCAACTTTCTGATGGCGACAAAAATCTGATGGCATTAGTGGGAGGTGGCAGATCACAGGAAGTGGGTGCGGGCTAGAGAAAGCAGGTCCTTGCAGGGGTACGCCTATGAAACATGTGCCCTGCCCTTGGCCCCCTGCTGTTTTTGCTTCCTTGCTGCTATCAGGTAAGTTCACCTCCATCTCTACCTTACCATGGAAATAAAAGCATGGACTGAGCTCTGAATAAGGATGAACCTTCTGAAACCAATCAATCCTCTTTTTTCTTCAAAAGGTTTATTTTTAATTAGGTTGTACACAGATGTGTTTGTGTGCAGGTACCCACAGAGCCCACTGGATCTGAGGTGGAGTCACAGGCAGTTTCCCAATGTAGGTGATGGAAACCAAACTTCGGTACTCTGCGAGAGCAGTAAACACTTCACCACTGAGTGGTCTCTCCAGCCTTCCAAGTCTCCCTCCTTTAAATTATTTCTTTCAGGGGCTGGAGAGATGGCTCAGTGGTCAAGAGCATTGACTGCTCTTGCAGAGGACTCAGGTTCGATTTCCAGTACCAGCAGCTAAAACTCGTCCTTATCTCCAGTTCCAAGGGATCCAAGGCCTTCTGACCTCCATGGGCATTGCATGACACGCATGCACTTTACACACGTGCAGGTAATACACTCATACCCACAAAATAAAAATAATAAAAAAAATATTTCTTTCGGTATTTGTTGCAGTAATGAAAGCAACAACAACAGCAACAAAGGCAGCAATGAAGAACGACACAATAATAAAAAATTCCATCTAAAAACCTAGAACACCAGTTCTTATATTATTATTTTAAAGACAAAGAGTAGTCTACCTAGCACCAATCCAACAAGGTCAAATATCCTAATTTTTATAAAATATCATTAAATTCTAGAGAGAGAGTAAAAGCATATGTTCATAGGTGAAAAACTCCAAAAAAACCATGTTGTATTTTTAACAGACTGACCAAGTTGCCTTATGGTTCATAATACTTGATAGATTTCCAATGAGCTCACCCCACAAAAATCAGGTTACAAAATACCTTACAACAAATTAAATGCAAATTGCCAGGTATGGTCATACAAGCCTATAATCCTAGGACTTGGGAAGTACACACCAGTGGATCAGCAGTTCAAAGCCAGCCCTGGCTACATGGTAATTTGAGGTCAGCCTGGGCTATTTAAAACTATCTCAAGAAACAAAAAAAAAAAAAATACAATAAATGAAATCTTTAAAATTTTATGAAGCAGCATAAAGGTAAGATATCAAAACAAAAACATTATTGTTGGCTAATTACCTCCTCTGTATCTTTCAATGTACACACATGATACGGCATAGATATTAGTGTCTGCTCTTTCCTGTCTGCAATATAAAGCCACCACCACTCTTGTTTTTCCTGGAACGAAAAAAAAAAAAAATACTATTAAGTAATCAGAAAGAAGTAGAGAAATAAAACTTTGTGTAACTTATTTTACAGATATTATCTGTGTTTTATTCACTGCTATATTAGCACCAACACAATGCTTGTGTAATAAGTGTTTACCCAATGAATAAATTGTGCTTAGCCACAGGAGATTCAGCCATTGCGCCCCCAAATAATTTTACATATAATTTTTGGAGGTTACTTAAAGCCTACTAATGGATCTCCATATTTGATACCCCTGATTTATTTTAAAATGATAAAAGATATTCTTAAAAAAAGACACCATAAATCACTACAATATCATACTCAAAAAAATTTAAGTTATTTCTAACCTAGTAAGTAATAAATAAAAACTAATGTACGAGTGGAAGGGGCTTGGACAATCCAATAAAAGCATCAATTCATTAAACACTTTACTCCTACAACAGAGCATGTCAGACTTCAAGAGCTGACGTACACTGCTCACTTCACATTATTATTTCAATAAACTTGGCATTTCTAGCTGAATTTCAGGAAGATCAAAACAAAAACAAGAAGCTAGGTAAAGAAACTGCCACAAGAATGCACAATTAGGGGGTTTAGATATGACAGAACAAAAGGCAGAAGAGAATTTTCTAGTGAACACAGAAGGCCCAGCAGTCTGCAAGCACCAAGCCTCATTGTGTACAACAGCCATCACCACATTACATTTCCCATCCGTTAACTCTTTAGACATCTGCTTAGTATCACCCATTTTAGACTGAGTAGAGGAAATACTTTTCTAAAAACAGTCTGAAGAAAAATGCTTGAAGCTAAAAATAAACCCTGGGCTGTGTTAAATATATGTTTAACTAAAAGAGCATCACACTATTCTAAACTCAATTTCCCAAGACTCTGGGAAATATTTGTGCTTTAAATCAAAACAGATGCATTTTCAATTTCATTTTACCCTTAAGAGATGACTTTTTTTGTTTGTTTTTCTTTTTTTTAAAACATTCATTTTGTGTGTATTTGTATGTATGTGGATGCGTGTGTGGTAGGGCACACATGTGGAAATCAGTTCTTTCCTTCCACCTCATGGGTCCCAGGGATTAAATTGGTATCAGCAGGCTTGGTACAGGTAACTGCTCACTAAGCCATCATCTTAGAGGCAACTTTTGTCTTTTTTATTATTTTTCTGTATCTTTTTAGTAATGCTACTTTAGATTTAACTAAAAGCTCTTTTGTTAAAAGACCTTTAGCTACAAAGCACTCAACAATACTAAGATTGACAAATCACAAATGAATGGTGTTAGCAGTACCTAAATAGTAAGAAAATCCAATTCTGCTTAACCTCAGGGTTAGTAAGGCCACAGAGATGCTTGTATGTATGTCTATCTATATGTTCTGTACACACTCTTGCGAGTGCCCAAATCTGCTGTAGCAATATGAAAAGAAATGAATGAAATTGAGTTTTAATAAAATTTTCTTTACAGTACAGCATCAGTTACAAAAGCAGGCAGGCAATTAGGCTTGTCTGCAGGCTGAATTCTGCCAATACCTGTTTTAAAGCCACACAGATCTAGGTTATTTCACTTATCTAGCTTTCCTTCTGTTGAATCAGTGCTCACCTTTGACCACACTGTGAAGATGAACGAAGACAATCCAAGTCAAATACATGTTAGTGTGCTAACATAGAGAGTATGCTAAGTGACAGTTATGGTTACTGGTGAAATCAGGGACTAGTAAAATAAGACCTTCATCTGGCATGTGTAACCTTTAGAGAGTAAGAAATGACAGTATCATTCACAAAGTTCATGCTCAAAAACTACATTTCACATTACCAAAAAAAATCCTTTGTAATATTTTAAGTCTGATTTTGTGTTAGGCTGCACTCACTGTTATCCTGGGCCACAGGTGGCCCACAGATCATAGGTATTCAAACATTTACCATGAGATGCTCCTATCCAAGGAAAAAGCAGGGAGCCAATGTTTCACTTACCAACTAAGCATGATCTAAAATGATACTCTAGTTATTTGGGTACCAATTATGTAGCTTACCTCATCCCATACTTTTAAAACTAATCAATAATCAGGATTCTTGGTGTTGGCAGGCTACCTCTGCAATGGGCAAAATGCACTTAACAGATGGGCTAAAGCTCAGGACATGCCAGAAGATCAGCACATGCATTAAGCTGGAATGCTGGGCAGACTTCTCTCCAAGTTAAAACATCTATGCAGAGTGACTTACTAAGACAGTCTAATCATTTAGGACTTTGCCCTACCAGCCCCTGCCATCTTTGATTGATAGTCTCAAACAGAAAATATTCTATACATGAAACAACTGGTTAAACATGAACAGAGAGCAGAAGGTTCTGTGGCAAAGCTGTGAGGTGGTCTGAGGAACAGTTTCTCTGAACTAGAGGAACCAGTTCTTGATGCCTGCTCCACAGACAGGATCATTCTCAAAAGCATCATGTCAAGAAAATACCAAAGTAATCTGAAAGACAAACAACAGAGGCTACCAAAGAGATCAAAAGTTGAGCAGGCATAAAGACAGAGTAAAGGACAACAGTGAAGGTGGCACTGCAATGCCCTTCCTTGAGTCTGGGACTCAGGCATGCTGAGGTCCTGCTTTCTTAAGGGCCAAATATATAGCTCATAGCCACCCATGGACTAGGACAGCTACTGGGGTTGAGAACCAGTCTAGTGGCTCTGGGTGGCCAGTACAAAATCCACAGAGGGTAGAAATTTTTCATCCTACTTAAAACTACATGGGGGTGAGAGATTCCTAAGAGTCAAGTAAATCAAGGCATACTCATTTTATAGAGCCTCCTCTTACTACTAAATGAGAAAAATCCATTAAGCGTAACACTCAGTATTACGAGCACAGAAAAGGCAGAAGCACAGGAAACCACACAAACTGAAAAAGCTAGCAATCCCCCTTTAAACAGCATCTTCACTGGAAGTAATTCCTAGTATATCATTTATCACAAGGGTAACCTATCAAAAATAAATGACAGAGTGTCTTTGAGCAATAAACATACCACAGAGCAATAAAAATCCACTGAGAAATATTTGGAGAGAATAAATGGAATGAGGAAAATACTAAGCTGAGTGCACTCACCTCAGGAAAGTAAAGACTATACACAGGATGTGTTATTTTTGATTTGGTTTCCAGCAGAGCTCTCTCTTTTCTCTGTATACTTTGTTGTAATTCTTGCCATTCCTAATAAAGAAAAAAATGAAGATACTTGAAATCTGGTATCTTTCAGAGACCATTTTGAGGAGTTTCTGGCTTTTACTCTTGACAATGCCAATCATCTACTGAGGATTAGAAGTTCATTCCCACAAACATGACCACCGTCTCAGCCATGCCCTATGCCCTGCAGCTTGTACAGCCCTGCTGTTCCTGATCCGACCCCGGCCTCGTCCACGGCTTTCCTCCTGGCCCTTTTTATTCCTGTCATCTTATTTCACACTCTCCCACTCCTCCTAAACCCTGTTTGGGATTTTGTTTCACTTTTTGGTCTCTGATGTATGAGCTCCTGGAAAACCTACCACAAATTTCCTGTCTCAGAGCTTAGCTGATAGCTCCTTCTTTGTGCCATCACTGCACCTTGCATAACATGTATTAATTCTTGTGTCACGTTTACTTCTAAGTCTGCTGACCCAGGCAGCCAACATATTTAAGGGCAAAAACTATACTCGGCTTGTACTCTTTGTAGGCTAAAGCAGTACTTGGGATGGGACACATTGAGACTCTGTTGGTTTAATGATTATTTTCGGTGTTCTGAAGAAACTTGTCTGTAAAACCTTGAGTTGCCTCTACTAACGCTAAGATACTTAGAGAAAAGAATGTGACAACTCTTCCTTAGACTAAAGCTGAGAAAATAATCTCTTTACTTCTCAAAGAACAAAAGCAGTCAAGACCCAACTAATAAAAATAGTCATCTTCATTTGCTCTCTACCATTCCCAAGGACGGGTAGGTATGCTGTCTCCTTGTACTTTTATATTTCTCTGTCTACCTCTTTCTAGCCTTTCCTTCTCTCTCAGAGACTATTCAGGGTATAACCTTTCCCTCTCAAATCATGCCCGGCCTTCAAATCACAAGGGTTACTTTTAGATATACAGCCCAGTCATAAAGAGCAATGCTACCAGGCACAAAGGAACAGCTGACCAGCCTCCATTATATACCCACTAAGTACCATTCTCTTCTATATCATTCCCTCAGATCAAGTGACACTTAATCCACATAGACTACACTTCACCATCCCAATAATACCTTACAGAGTCCAGGAAACAAGGTAACATTCTATAATTTTAAGTTTGCCTTAGTCAGCTCTTTGACCTCAAGGATTTCAGTGATATTTCTTCTCCTAAATACGGCAGAGTCTTCCAAGAGGTCCTGTTTCACAATCCACTTCCCCAACTCCTATTTCCGGAGAAACCACCATCACTGAAAATTTCCTTAAGACACCAAACAAACCTCACTCAGACCCAGGGTCTATTCCACTTAGCAATTAAAGTAAAATTAAGAAAAATGAGGTTTCCAATTCTTGTTTAAAACAATTTTTTTAATAAGGCCTGACAGGAATTCCTCAAAACAAATACAATCTTAATAATAAATAAAATTATAAAATATGTATGGGTATTCAAGACAAGTAAACAAGCAAACAAATGAACAACAAACTCAACAATCACAGTTGTAATTCCAATTACTTAAACCTATGAAGTCTGGACTTTGGGATATAGACTGGGTTCAATACCCAGTCTGGAAAAGAACAGCCCAGAACAAATAAACTCATGAAGGCTTACTGCTTCATCGTCTTTGTTTTGCTTTTCGTCTTGCTCTCTATCTGAGTCTCTGTCACTGCCGTCATCTTTCTCACTCTGAGAATCTCTATTGGTTTCTTCTTCTTCAGAATCGCTGCCTTTGTCAGAAACATCTTCTTCATCCTCTTTTAATGCAGCTTCCTACAAGGAAAAAGCAAGAACATTTCAATCAGTATACATTTTTCTGAGTCCCTGGAGCCAATTTACTATCAAAGTGACTAAATTGGCTCAAAATCAGAACTTCACCATTCATTCCAAATCCTAGAAAATTATAAACATTCCTATTTTATATGATATAGGTATCAAGCTGAAGATTTTAAGATTTGGAAGATGTGTCTACTGATAAATTGATATTATCCTTTTTTTTTTAAAAGATGGGTTTTTAAAAATTATTTTATTATTTTTATTTTATGTGTATGTGTGTATTGCCTGGATGTAGGTAAGTGCACCCATGTCGTGCAATGCCTGCGGCAGGCAGAAGAGGTTGTCTGATTCCCCTGGAACTGGAGTTACGGACAGTTGTTAGCTGCCATGTGGGTGCTGGGATTTGAACCTGGGTCTTCTGCAAGAACACTGTTCTTAACCACTGAGCCATCTCTCCAGCCCCTTGATCTATTTCTTTATGAACAAATTTTGTATGCTCATAACTGTTATATCCAT